GCACAAGTATCTCATATCATGCTTTCTCCCTGTCCTTTCTCCAGCCAGCACTTGCTCTCGAGTACTTATCATCTTTTGTTTCCTCTTCGTCTCTCACGTATAAGGGAAGTGAAGATGATACCTCGAAGCATGTGGAGACAACGTGCTGATTCATCCTCAGCTAGGGACAAGGAGAAAGAAAGCAAGAGGTGGGCACTTGGAAAGATTGAAGAAAGAAACAGACCAACACCTCTCCCTCGTGCCTGCCCGCCATGCAGAGGAAACAAGCAGAGAAGAATGCAGCTCGTACAATCAACCCAGCACAAGGAGTCCGAGCTAAAGAACTAGAGAAGCTGCCACATCTGCTTGGAGAACAAATAAGGAACTGCAACATCACCAAAGAGTAAAGCTTCGCCGTACAATATCATCAAATCATCACTTGCTAGTAAAAAGCTAAGTGTCACCCAGTTCAAGAGGAAAGTTGTGGAAAGTCAACAAGCACGACCAATGATCACTTATTAGTTCTTTTCATTGTCTTTTATCGTGATTTTCAATTTTTCGTTTTCAATTTCTTAATTTACATTTTGCGTTACTTAACTAAATTATTTCTTTTCTTTACAGGAACTTTTGGTTATTTCCACCCTTGAAGTTGATTGCAGACTTTTAGCTTGGGGGGGTCATCGCTTGGTTTTACTGCAAACTAGGGAAGTTTTCAGTCCAATTGCTTTATTTTGTTTCTTATTATTTATTTATTTTATTTTTATTTGCATTATAGTGTTTTCTGACATTGGGGACAATGTCCGGTTCAAGTTTGGGGGTAAAGGGTATAAAAAATGACCAAATTGAAATTGGATGTACCTTCAACTATGAACGAGTTTTCATTTGTTTCCATGTTGTTGCTTTTTGTTTTCTTAATTAGTTTTGTTTTCTTTAAAAAAAAAAAAATAAAAAAAAATTAAAAAAAAAAAAAAAAAAAAAAATCGGAAAATTTAAAAATCCAAAAATATTGTCTTGTTTCCCTTATTGTTTTGAATTAGATTTTTGTTAGTTTCCCGACCCAATGATATAATTGGATCAAATTTGAACCATGATCATCAAGAACTTAGTTAACATGTGTTTTGTGAAATTCCTAATTCTCTTGTTAGTTTTGTACATGTTTGATCATATTTGAAAAACTAAATGCACATAGCCTTGTTAATGTGAAACTAAAGTATGACTTAAAGCTTCATATGTGAATTTAGTGACCATATACATCCTATGTGAGTTTTTGAGCCTATTGAAAGTGTGTGCATTTTTCATACACTCCTATTCTTTCATGTGTGATGAACTTATGTGAGATACATCTCTAGAACTTGCGTAACGATCTTTCGAAATGTTTGTCATCGATTGCATGAACTTGGAAATGATAGAGGCATTAGGTTTACCACTATGGCCCAAATAACCATGTTTCCCAAAGAAAAATGATATCATTAGATTGCCAATTTGAGCCGTCTTTGTTGAGCCTTTTATTTCTTATCACCAGATATGTTTACCCTTATGCCTGAAACATTTTTCCTTACCTTTCCAAGCAAGCTAGTGAGCAATGCGAGATTGTCTTATGAGAAACGTTTGTGAAGTACTTTGAAGGTGTTTGGCAAAAGAATAAGTGTGGGGGTATTTCATGTTTGTATTTAGTTGTGATTGAAAAGAAAAAAAAAAGAAAAAAAAAAAAAAAGAAAGAAAGATTGTATAAAAAGAAAATAAAAAGTTTTAAAGTTTCAGTTTAAGAGTATGGTTGGAGGTGCTAGAAGAATCGCTGGAAAAATTGAGTTCTTATAAATCTAAACAAAAGAATTGCTTGCAATATAGCTTGGAACTTGTGTTTTCCTATTCTTTCATTTCAATAACCCTATCCCTAAGCCTCATTACATCCAATAAAAGTCCTCTTGATTTAAGTTTTGCAATTATGACTGTGGAGAAGTGATCTTTATGCAAGCTTATGGTAGAAATTTCACATTTGTTTCTTTGAGCGAAACACATTAAAACTAAACACATGTGTGATTGAGTGCATATCCCGTGAGAAGGTCACTAGTTTGCATATGATGATTTTAAAAATAAAAACTTGAAATTGCATTAGCATGGCTATCTCACACACTACACTTCAAGGATGATTTGAAGACTACTGCTAATATTTGAATAAGGAAGATGAACTTGGATTAGTTCCTTGATGCTAGCTATGGTTCTTGATGATTTGTTTTCTTAAATGAAATTCTATGAGGGTCAGATAGGGAGAAACTAATGTTTTTCTTGTTACTTCTTGTTCTTGTTTTCTTTGTTTTGCTCGAGGACTAGCAAAAGTTAAGTGTGGGGGTATTTGATCGGATGATATTTATATATATTTTTACTTCGAATTCACTCGTCTTTTCTTAGTTAGTTCCTTATATTTTTGAGCTATTTACGTTATTTTGTGTTTATAGGATTTGTTATGCAAAGAAAATAAAAATAGAACAAGTGAAATTTTATGTAATAAATTCGTCAAAACTGTCTGTGTAGATCAGCTTTTAAATAAAATTAAAAAGCATATATATATATATAATAATAATAACAAGTCATGATGATGTTTGAAACATCATCATGATTCATGTTTTGTAGAAGAAGAAAGGAACGGCGAAGAAGAAAAGAAAAAGAAAGAAAAGAAAAAGAAAGGAAAAGGAAAAGAAGGAAAAGGAAAAGAAGAAAAAAAAAATATAAACAAGCAGAAAAAGGGAGAGAGAAGCAGCAAGCAGACAGCTGCCTTGCGGCAGCAGAAAGAGGATAGAGAGAAGTGGGAGCGGGAAAAGTCAGTGGAAGCAGGAGAGACAGCTGGGAGCGCAGTAGGCGCAGAGAATGTGGTGGACAGCAACAGAAAAAATAAAATAGGAAAAATAATAGAGGAAGCAGGAGAGTGAGATTCCAGGAGAGAGGGGAGGTCAGAGAGATAGAAATAAGAGCGCAGGAAACGGGGGGGGGAATTGGTGGAAGGCAGAGGGCTGCCTTTTGGGCAGCGTGAAGCTGCGGAGAGAGAGGATAGCTAGCGGGGGAAATAGAAGCTGCCTTTGGCAGCTGGGCTGTGAGGCGAGAATAAAAGGAATGAAATAACTGACAGGAAGGGGGGGAGCTGCCTTTGGGCAGCTCGCAGAGAGCGCAGGAGGCGCAGAAAAGACGCGGGAGTGAGAGGCGAGGAAATAAGGCTGAAGAGGAACAGCTGCCATTTGGCAGCTGTGAGCACGGACAGAGAACACGAGGGCTGCCATTGGGCAGCGGTAGTGAGAGAAGTGAGGCAGTGCAGTCCAGGTGATAAACAGAAAGCAAGTCAGCGAGAGAGAGGGCAAGCATGGGCACGAACGCAGCAGATCCTCTTTCGGTTTAATCTTTCCAAACTTCTATTTTATTTTTGTTTTAATAATGTGTAATTAAATTTATTTTGGTTAGAGGTTAATTCAAAGCCATGAATATATTTGTAATATGAATTGATTACCTTCAGTTGTGAGTTATAAGTTGTGAATTCAATTTACTTATCCGTTCGTATAAAAACTGATTTGTGTATGTTGGTTGAGAGTGCACGCTTAATTTACATGCATGAATTTGATGCTAGAATATAAGTGAATTTCACCTAATCGTTATGAACTTATTTTCACAAGTAGTAAAGGTTGCTAGTCACAATCACGTTAAGTAAATTCTTGGCAAGAGTATCATGCTTTTCATAGTTACGAATGCCTCGTCAATGCTTATAGTTTTCACAAAGTTTAATGATCTTTGATTGTATCTCTATTGTGCTTTTCACGTAGGGTACTTTTGAAGAATGTTTTGAATTGTTGTATGCGTTTTCCCGTCCAATTCAATAACTTAAGGAAAACTTGAAGATTAAAAAAGTGCTGTTCACGGTTAATCTGGAGTATTGAAATTCACAATTTATTAAATGAACAACTGGAAATCATTTTGTATGCAAGTATAACATGTGTGGAGAAGAACCCTCTAGCTAGTCCGTCATTTATCATTTTACCTTAATTTTATGTTTTTGTCAATTCTGTAATTTAATTAAGTTTAATTTACTTTTCATCAAAACCAAACACCCATCCATTATTAAATTATATTATTTAGTTAGTTTTCTTTATTGTTAGTCTTTTAATTTAATTTCCGTCCATTTCAGTTCCTAGTGTTTAATTTAATTGTTTTCATTATTTTGAGTCATTTTAAGTGTGTTTCGAGTTATTAGAGTTTTTAGCCTAGTTTTGTGTCCTTGAGTCTTATTTAATATTTTTAAGTTAATTTAATAGATTAGCAATCCCTCCTAATCCCCGGCCTAGAACGATACCCTACTTACATCTATACTACAATTGTCAAAAAGAGGGTTTAATTTTGTGTGTTAAGTAATTCTCGCATCACGCCCCTCCAGGTTCTAGTTAGCAGTTGGTGGCTCACGAGGTCTTTTTCGGCGTTCTGACAGACGTTCTGCATGTAGGACTCACCTGCGGGTGTTGTACTTTTAATTATAGTCCTACTTGACTGCACTTAAAACCTACGCTCTGAATTCGTGTGTTTTACTTTATAACTCACTCTTTTATGCTAGTAGGGTATTACTGCTAGTGATTGGTTTAAATTCCTTCATATTTCTGTTATATCTTGCTTCCGTGTCGCACTTTTGGCTACGTCACGCTCACGTGACGACCATCACTCCTTGATTCTAGGATCGGGGTGTGTCATGTTTAAAAAATGTTAGATTTTTTAATTGCTTTGATTTCTTTTGAATTTGTATTTTATTTTATTTTCGAGCCTTGAATTTTGTAAGGACTGTTTCATTTTAAAAGAGGTGGTTTGACCCCCATTGACAAATTTTTTAACAGTAGCTTCAAATCAACCTCTCTCCTGTCAGTCGGTCATCTGCTCTGTTTCTTCTACAGTTATATCTATGTATACAGTTATGTACATACATATAATCAATTTCTACTATAATTTACATCTATAGAATGACAATTGATTTTTTTTTATTTGGGTTTCTGAAGTTCCGAGGATGAGTTCGTCACGGCCAAAGTTGATACTTTTGATTCCAAAGTTACCTCCTTTATATCTCACAAAACAATGCTGCAATTCTCACAAGGTATCTTTAGAAAAAAAAAAAAAATTTCTTTTTACCAGTAATTTTAATTTTTTTTTTTAATTTTCTTATGAAATTTGGATTTTTGTGTTTTGGATTTGACAAAAATTCTTGAATTTTATTAGTGAATATGTGTTTCTTTCTCGATTTTTTTTGAAATTTTGAAATTTGAATAATGGGGTTTTGTTAAAATTTTGTATTTCTCTATGAGTGATGCAAAGTGGTTGTGCTTCATGTTGTAGTAACCTCAGGTGTGTTATTGTTCGAAGATCTCTAGCCGTCTCTGTGATTCTGGTTTAACCCAGTGTTCTTGATTCTTTATCGACTGTTGTTAGGCATTTTATATGCTTTTTTGGTTGCTTCCTTTCTTTGTTGTGTTCTTAATTTTCCAAATCGTTGTTCAGATCATTTGATTGGTACTTAGTTAAGTTTAATACTAGCGGTTTAGCTGTGAATGAATTAATCCAGTCTCGAATAGTGTGGCATGTGAGATGATAATAGACTAATAGAGGAAAAGGAGTTGAAGCATCTGTGTTTGATTTACAAATTTTGGCAAATCCTTGCCATTTTTTTTGTTTCCTGGTGATATATATCTATCTTCATAACCAAATAGCGATAACTTTGAGTTTCCAGAAGTTTAATGTGTTTCGCGTCCTGCATTTTTGTAACGTCCGTACAAGTTGTCACTAAGATCTTTTGGTTTCTGGCTACTTTAGTTTTTCAGCATTGAATTGTAGGATTAAAGTTTTTGATTGAGTTCTTATTTAATTTTAGATTGGAATGGGTACAATCTGAGCACTCCTAAAACTGAAAATTTCTCCAAAGATTGTGAGAATGGATGTGTCAGATATGGTTTATCGTCCATGCAAGGATGGCGTACCACAATGGAGGATGCTGTGAGTGCATTAAACTTTTCTCTTCCTATTTGAAGTTGTTTTTAGAACATAAATTCTTTTATGTCTATTCTCAGAAGTTTCTATTGTTGTATCCTTTTCCGTCTTTATTTAAAATGTTGTAGTTAGGATTCAACTGAATATGATTTTACTTGACATGTTCAAATCCTCTTAATCATGTTCTTAAATTTTACTGTATGTATCGTGTTCTTTGCATTTCATTATCTGAACTTTGTTATTTGAATTTGGTTACTTGAATCGTGCCTAATATTTGATGTGGCCGGTGGCTTTGTATGGCTGGCTGGTGTGATTTGGGAGTGTTTTTAGTCAATGGGAGACAGAGGACAAAGGTGTGGGGCAGCGAAGTCAAGTGGGATTAGGAATTTAGTATAGTAGAGTTTTTCCTATTTTATGGGATTAGAATTCTTCCTATATTTTTGTCTTGGTGTGATCAATTGTAACAAAGAATTTTTCATTCTCCATTCTCTTGGACCAAGCATGAAATCCCAAGCACTATATCACCACAAAGCAAGCAAGCTGAAAGCAATCCGACAAACCCTTTTTCCAAAAGCACTTAACAGAACCTTTCTATGGGTTAATTGTTGTTTCAATTATACCAGATTGAAAACGAGTATGGAACTGTTGGTCAAGCATACGGAGCTGTTGCTTCTTTTTCTCAAGGAAACAGAGCATTTTTTGCAACCACATCTTTTGTAATCAACTTGGTTGAATGTATATAAAAATTAACCTGCTTATCTTACCGACACTTTTCACTTATCTATCACTTTTGTTCATTCATGATTATATTGATTTTTTTTCTTCAGGTTAATTATGTCTTATTCATGTAGTTAAGGTTGATGCATTAAAGTCCCGCAGCAACGTGCGGGCATATTACTTGTAACTTCTATTTCACAAAATTTGTTTCATATTTTTTTTAAATTCCATTTTTTTCCTATAACTTCTATTTCACAAAATTTGTTTCATATTTTTTTTTAAATTCTATTTTTTTTCCTATAACTTCCTAAGTCATTATACAACATTAAATTAAATTAAGTAACATGAAACAACATTAAACAATATGAAACAACATTAAATAATATGAATTTAAATTGTAGTTTTTAAATAATAAATTATGTTTGGCTCTATGGCCCTTTGGCCTTCGGTTGGAGACGGTTTTTTGTGAAATAGCTAAAACAGCCATCTGGCCCTCGGTTGGAAACAGAGGCAAATATGGTAATGTACTGTTCATTAAAATATTAATATCTTGGTGAATCTTGGAGGGCCAGAGAGCTAAAACGATCCCTCTGGCCAGCCATCAGTTGGAGATGGCCTAAAGCTCCGACGACGACGACTGAAAAAAAGACAGGTCTTGGGTGTTTATTTTAACCTTGTCTCCGTTTTCCGGGACGTAGAAACAAAACAACATGATGTGCGAGTTTTCGGATGTAAAAAATGGATTGTTGTCTTGGATTTTGTCTATGTAAAGAACGAAAAGATGAGTAATGGGTAATGTACATAAGTTAGCATCCTAGATCTTGTTCTACTACTAACTATCTGAAAATTAAAACCAACTTATGTCAAATTAACCGTCTAAATCCTCCTCCAAATCCACTAATTGTACCATCCGTGTTACTATAACGGTTAACAATTGATGGTCAATTTAACGGAATGTGTAAATTTGTTGAATGTCAAAAGTTCATATGCAAACTAAAAAAAATTAAAACCTCAATGATTTTTAGCTAAAATGGTCTATGAGATTGTCCACCGTCAATCATTTTGATTATTCCATGAAAATCTCCGTTAAATTAAGGGTATTTTTATCAAATCAACCCCTCCAAGTAATGGTTTTTTCAATTTAACAGAGATTTTTCACAGAATGATCAAAATGATTGATGGTAGACAATCTCAGAGACTACCACTATCGATTTTTAATCTCAAATATCAAAATGAGAAATTATGACAATCTCAAAAAATATAAAAAGCTGAAAGAATTCTTACAATTTTTTTCTTTTTTTTGTGTTCTGACTTCTGAAGTCTTGGTTTTGGAAAGATTTTTCAATGTGACCGGTATACAAGGTAGTACACCACATGTCACTATACAAATGATTGAATATGTGGGTTAAAAAGTTAATAACTTAAAATAAAATTTTCCACCACTTATATAAACACACGTAATATATCATTTGCGTTCATATCACAACGAAAAATTTCTTCTGGTTTTGGCAAAACCAAGGAGCTGTATTGCTCTGACTGCTGACCTACAAGATTTAATAAAATACCAATAAAGTCCCACCATTTTTCCTTTTTGCAAATAAAATCCAAATCCCACCCAAACAGGACCACCATTTTTCCTTTTATTTAATCAAATTCAATTTAATTCAATTTCGAGGCCAAAACTCGACGGAAGGGTTTATTTTTACCGGGAAACCTTTCTGTCGCCATCTGAATTGCGGTTGACTGACGTCGCAGTCAAGCCCCCGCGCTCTGCTGCTTTTCTTCCTTCCTGGGCCTTTTTTGTTCTATCGGTAAAGTTTTTTATTTCTCAATTTTCTTAATCTGATTCCCAATTTCCCTTTTAGGGTTTTCTTTATTTGATTGATTCATTGGTAATGTGCCGTTTGATTGCTGTTATTTCGTCTGAAAGGAGAAGAGTTTGATGAAATTTCGGAAAAGGGTATTGTGATGAATTGCTTAATTTCAAATTAATGGCTTGAATTGTTAATTTAATTATTTAGGTTATTGGCATTAAGGGTGCTTATATAATTTACAACGGTTGGATTCTGTATTATCACATTGTTTATGAAGGTGAGTTACATATCTCTGAGCTTGTGATGATCTACAAAGCCAGCATCCTTTATTGAGGCCTTATATTTTCGGGTTGCAGTCCGATTTTGTAAATCAGTGAAGGTTCATCTTCTTTGATGTGCAATTTAGTGCTAAACTAATCCGTAATTACGTATTTTAGCAAATTGTTTTTAGTTTATTTGAGAGCTATAGTTTTACAACATAATTTAGATCAAAAGGTGTGTCGTGTGTAACCAAGGAATGTGGAAGTGTTATTGCATTACTAATGTAGTGAAGCCTTCGGCAATCTGCAGGGGTTGTCCACAAGGCAGACATCAAGCAAGGCAGGGTGTCTTACGCTGTCGCGGAGAAGTGGCATCTGATGGTTCAGTAGAGCCCAGTATTACTGATTGCATCCAAGAGAAGAATACAGGGGGCTTCTCTTGTGGAATTTTTTATGTGTATTTCATGAAGAAACAATTACAAATGAAACATATATATAGGGAAAGAAAGTAGATATAAGCCTAACTTGTCTAACTTTGCCTAACTTGTGTAACTTGCCTAACTTGCCTAACTTGCCTAACTTGCCTAACTTGTGTAACTTGCCTAACTTACACAAAGAAAGTTGACTAGCCTAAACCACTAGCCATCCAATACTCCCACTTTTCCAACACTTCCCCTCAAGCTGGATCGAGGGGATTCCTTGAGCCAAGCTTGGACAGAATGCGCATGAACTGAACCGTAGGAAGAGGTTTAGTAAAAATGTCAGCCAATTGATCATGATTGCGAGTGTAATGAGTGTTGATGATGTTGGCTTGAACCTGTGCTCGAACATAATGACAATCCACTTCAATATGCTTCGTTCGCTCGTGAAATACAGGATTGGAAGCAATATGCATGGCAGCTTGATTGTCACGGAACATAGATATAGGTTCCTTACTGTGAAACCCTAAATCAAAAAGAAGACTTTTTAGCCAAATAAGTTCACAAGCAGTGGATGCCATAGCTCGATACTCGGCCTCTGCATTGGAACGAGCTACAACGCTTTGCTTCTTGTTGTGACATGTTACCAAGTTCCCACCTACAAAGGTACAAAAACCTGTGGTTGATTTGCGATCAAGATAGTGCCCAGCCTAATCAGCATCTGTGTAACCCATGATGGCAGTGCTGTCATTCTTTGTCATAAGGATCCCTCAACCAACAGACGCTTTTAGATAACGAATAATTCTCTTCACAATCTGCATATGAACTGATGTAGAAGCATGCATAAACTGACTCACAATACTCACAGCATAGGAGATATCTGGCCGCGTAATTGCGAGATAAATAAGTTTTCCTACCAATCTTTGATACTCAGTAACATTGGAAAGAACTTCTCTGTGAGTAGTGAGTTGCAGCTTACTATCCAGAGGAGTGCGTGCAGGTTTGCAATCCATTAAGTTAGATTCCTTCAAGAGATCAAGGATATATTTTCTTTGATTGAAAGAGACCTTGCTGTGAAGTGGCAAGTTCAATACCAAGGAAATATTTGAGGTGCCCCAAATCCTTGATTGCAAATTTGTTTCGAAGAGCAAGCTTGAGAGATTGGATTTCTGCATCACTGTCACCTGTCATTATGAGATCATCTACATAGATTAAAACAATGACTTTTCCAACTGAGCCATTACAAACAAATAGGGAGGAATCTGCACTGCTTCTTTGGAAGCCAAACTCTTCAAGGATTGAGCTTAGTTTTGCATACCAGGCACGTGGAGACTGTTTCAGACCATAAATAGATTTGTGCAGTTTACAAACCATGTTAGGATTGCTCGATTGAGGATGCCCTGGTGGTAGTTTCATGTACACTTCCTCATCTAATTCCCCATGCAAAAAAGCATTTTTCACATCCATTTGATAGAGAGGCCAAGATTGATTCACAGCAACTGACAAGAGAACTCTTACAGTGTTCATTTTGGCTACGGGAGCAAAGGTTTCCTTGTAATCCAAGCCATAAGTCTGAGTAAAGCCACGAGCCACTAAACGAGCTTTGTGTCTTTCAATAGTCCCATCTGAGTTGAACTTTGTCTTGTACACCCAACGGCTACCCACTGCTTTCTTCCCTGTGGGAAGTTTAATTACACTCCAGGTTTTGTTTTCATGAAGAGCTTGTAGTTCGTCCCTCATTGCAGTTTACCAAACTTTATGTTTACTTGCTTCTTGAAATGTTTGTGGTTCATGAGTATGATCCAAGGCACTAAGAAAGGAGATATGAGAGGGTGAAAACTGCTTATAGGAAACAAAATCTGTGAGAGGATACCTAGAGGTGTAGGTGACATAATCATGTAGTCGAAGTGGGGGTTGACGAACCCTAGAAGGGTTTCGATGAATCTGGACTGGATGCTCAACATTTGTGACTTGGGAGGGAGCATGTTCAGGTGATGGACTTGTAGTGTCACATGATGGAGGATTTTCTTGGTAGTACGGGACAATAGGCAATGGAAACATATCACTCAAAAACTCCCCCTGATTTGCATCACTTAGTTTCTTTGAGAAGTAGGACATATTTTCATTAAACCTTACATCCCTTGAAACTAGAAGCTTATTTGTGATTGGATTGTAACACTTGTAGCCTTTTTGAGTGGATGAGTAACCCAAGAAAATACATTTGATAGCTCTAGGATCTAATTTATCATGATGAGGGGATTTGTTGTGAACAAAGCAGGTGGAGCCAAAAACTCTCAAGTGTGAAAGATCAATTTTTCTACCTTTTAGCATCTCAAATGGGGACTTGAAATTGAGTATTTTGCTAGGCAATCTATTAATAAGATAGGCAGCTGTAAGTACTCATTGTGACCAAAATTTCTTGGGTACATTCATATGAAACATGATTGATCTTGTCTTCTCAAGAAGATCTCTATTTTTTCTTTCGGCCACTCCATTTTGTTGAGGTGTGCCAACACATGTTGTTTGATGCAAGATGCCATGAATACTCAAGTA